CGCCCGCCTCCCCTCTCCGCTCCGCTCCGCTCCCCGCGGCCATGGACGGGCGCCGGTGCGCGGCCCTGGCGCTGCTGGCCGCCTGCTGCCTGTGCCCCGCCGGCGGCGGCGCCGAGCGGCAGTTCCTCAACGAGTGGGCGGCGGAGATCCCGGCCGGACCCGACGCCGCCAAGGCCATCGCCCAGGAACTGGACTACGACCTCGTGGGGCAGGTATGGCCGGTGGCGGGGAGGGGGGACCGCCGCGCCCACCCGCGGGGCTCCCTGCCCTCCCTCCCTTCCTCCTTGGGGCTGCGTCCAAACTTGTGCCCGGCTGCCCATGGAGGGGCCCCGGCGAGTTTGCAGCGCCTTCTCCCCCCCCCGCCCCCGGCCCCGGGTCCTCACCTGGCGGGAGGCACCGCCGCCGCGCCGCCCGACCGGGGACGGGTCTCCCTGAGGGGAGCGGGCGGGGCAGCGCCGCTCTCCGTGAGGGGAGCGGGCAGGGGGCCGGCAGGGCACCCCGCTGTCCCTGAGGGGACTGGGAAGGGCGCTCTGGCTCTCCCTGAGGAGATCGGGCAGGGCACTCCCGCTCTCCCGGTGAGGAGCCGAGCGAAGAGCGGGCAGGGCACCCCGCTGTCCCTGAGGAGATCGGGCAGGGTCGGACAGGGCACCCCCGCTGTCCCTGAGGAGATCGGGCAGGGTCGGACAGGGCACCCCGCTGTCCCTGAGGAGATAGGGCAGGCACCCCGCTGTCCCTGAGGGGGCCGGACACGGTCGGACAGGGCACCCCCCCTCTCCCTGAGGAGATCGTGCAAGGAGCACGCAGGGCATCCCTGTTCGCCCTGAGGAGATCGGGCAGGGTCGGGCAGAGCCCCCTGGCTCTCCCTTGAGGGGACTGGGCAAGGAGCAGGCAGGACACCCCTGCTCTCTCTGAGGGGACAAGGCAGGGACCGGGCAGGGCACTCCGCTGTCCCTGAGGGGACCCGGCAGGGTCGGACAGGAGACTCCCGTTCTCCCTGAGGACATCGGACAGAGCACCCCCACTCTCCCTGAGGAGGTCGGGCAGGGTCGGACAGGGCACCCCTGCTCTCCCTGAGGGGACAGGGCAAGGCGCCCCAGCTCTCCCCCAGGAGACCAGGTCGGGACAGGGCAGCGCACCCCAGTTCTTCCTGAGGTGACCGGGTAGGGTCCCACAGGGCACCCCGCTCTCCCCGGGGGATCCGAACACGGTCGCACAGGGCGCCCGGCTCTCCCTGAGGGGACCGGGCAGGAGGCGGCCGCAGGCAGCCCCGGCCCCGACCCCGCGCCGCCCCGGGCCCTCCCCCCCCGCCTCCATTTCTTTCCCCCCACGGAGGCGCCGCCGCCATCGCGGGGCTTCTCTCCGGCAGGCCCTCCCGGCGCTTTTTTTGGGATGCCGTGACGTCAGCGTTGTCAGGGATGAGTAACCGCCCGAGGTAGCAGCCTCGTCCCACCTCCAGACGAGGGTCCTGTGCCAGGCGCCCGGGGACCCCGTTCCCCCTTCCCCCCGTGTTCTTCGGAGCCTCAAACCCGGGTCTGAGCGCACCTCGGTGGGGGGTTCTGTCCTTCTGCCCCTAGAGCAGAAGGATTCGCCCCCACTGGGGATGTTTGAAGCCCGCGGGGAGCACCCCGGGTGACGGGCGACTACACCGTTCTGTAGGTGTTTCGACAAACGAACCCCACAGTGAGGTTTCTGCAGCTTTTCACACCTGTAAAAAGCAGGTAAAACCGGCGGGTGACCATAGGTAAAACCTGCCCCTGGAAATGTGGCCGTGTGGAGGTCCGTCCCTGGTCACCACAAACACTGCCCTACTGTAGCACCAACCGCCGCTGCCTCGCCAGCTTAAATGAAATTATTCCCCCCGTTTCTTCTTGGCAGCACACAGGCTGTGATAAGCACTTCTTACTTGGAGAGCGGTTTTTTTGGCGTAGATTAAAATATCTAAAGGCTAGTTTCGTGCTCTTTCCTTTTCCTCTCTCGGGCAGCGTGAATTCGGTCAGGTTGCGATTGTGTTGATGTTTGTTTGCAGTGGGGAAATCTCTCTCGATAGTTAAAGCACGCCTCTGTCTTATAGATTGGATCACTCAAAAATCACTACCTATTCAGACATAAAAGCCATCCAAGACGGTCCCGAAGAAGTGCCATTCATATCACTAAAAGACTTTCTGATGATGAGCGGGTGAGTGTTACATTTATTCATTTTCATGCCCTCTGTTTATTCCATCTCCTTATTGCCAGCTTCCTAATGAGGTCACCGGCAGGCTTTCCTCGTTTTGCAAGTCTAATATATTCAGCCATCCACACTTGTGCTGAATAATGCTGTATTATTCTGTCATTAACAGGCAGGATCTGACCCTCTCTAACCATATTTCTTTTGCAAGTGCTTTCCAAATTAGGATTTAAGATATGCAGCATTGCAGAGGTTCAGAATTTCAGATGTTGATGTGCCGCTGGTGAAAGTACACGTGAGGAACCTCAGGGCTCGATTCAAAGTAAAAATCCATAGATGCAGTAAGTTTAATCAGGCCACATCTATGCAATTACCTTGGGAATTAGGTCTGACTGAAAGTGACTGAATATTAAAAAAAAATAATAATAAAAAGGCAGGGGAAAAGGGCTGAGGTTTTGGTGGATTTGCTTCTTTTATGACAAGCTAAAAGCCCTTCTCAGAGGATCCATCACGCATTGTGGACTTGGAGTCCTGGGGTGCAGTGGGGTCCTGCAGCAGTCAGGGAGCAGCACATGGAGTCCCAGGGCTCTCAGGACCCTGCGCTGGTGAAACAGACCCCCCGTTCGTCTGACTTCATTTCAGAGAGACGCAGGACCTGCTTGTGAGTGGAGAAAATAAGGCCGGTGGTGAATTTAAGGAGCAGACCAGAATGCCCCTCTTAAAAGCGATTTCTGGCAAATTTCAGAACAACAAAATCTGCATTTCGAATCGGCGTCATTGCAGCCATCATCCTGAAAATGCGAGCAGTCCAAAACGTGAGGTAGCCTAGTTTGGGAAACCAACAATTTATCATATAAGGACAAATCACTTGAGAACGAGTAATTGGTTATCTGGAGATTTTAGATGTAAATGTCACTGAGGAGGAAGCACTCTCTGCCTAGCTAGAAGAATTAGAGGGGGAGGTGAGACAGGGTATTTGTTTTGCCTGTTCTGTTCCAAAACTGCACACTCCCATCTATCTCCTCAGTTTAACACTTAGAGTCTTCTCTGTGAAATCATTCTAAACTGGGGATGTTCAAAACCACAGCTTTAGGGTAAATTAGTGTTCTAATTTATACCCGTATGCAATGATCAGATGTTCAGTGCCATCATAGTACAGTGTTCAGGAGCAGAGTTTTGGTTGCAGTTCCTCCCTTTTTTGGCCTTGTTACACAGAATGCATCTCTTGCAGAGAGGAGCACGTTTAATATACCAAATTCTAGTGTCGTAAGCAGAATGGAAGCAATTGTGTTACACACATCACTGCCAAATGTTATTGCAGCCTTACATACTTAGACCCCGAAACAGAGCTTCAAAGTGCCGCAGGTGATTTGCTAAATTTACTTCCCAATTTCCCTTTTATTTACCATCTAGCATGCAAATTAACTATGTGAAGGAATGAGGTGTAATTATGTCATTATGTAAGTATATAAACACAGAGCAATCATGTAATGCTGTGTAGTTATACACGGACCTTTGCTCCAAAGAGCTGTTCTGGTTCAGCAGCAGCCTATTTAAAAAGATTTAAATTCAGTCTTTGAAAAGGGAGAGGGAAGGGAATCCTGCTTTCTTTCTTGCATAACGCCTTCACGAATTTTACGGTATGTTAAGTGTGAAAGCTGGGGTAAAACTTGGCTCTAATCTGAGAATTTATCTGCTTCCTATAGATGTCCCAGTGTTTGTTGTAAAACAGATAAAGGCTGTGAATATATTGAAAGGATATAATTATCTGGTTCCCGAACTCCTTCCAGTATTTGCACGAGTTTCCAAGTGTACTTTCCTGCAAGAGACCTGAATCAGGATTATTTTCACCGCGTTGTGTGTCAGCGACTGGGGGGTTTGGCAGAGGGCCTGGGGCTCCTGCCGTGGATGGATGGATGGTTGGAACCTCACCCAGCTGCCGAGCGACCAACGCTTGGCTTGTTTCTCTGACATATGGGCTTGGTCGTTTCGGCTCATTTCCCTCAGTGCAGTTGTCCACTTCGAGGGGAAAAAAAAAAAAATTAAAATAACAAGCGTGGAAGTTGTCAATTGTTAATTACTGTTGGGTGATGGAGAGGCCAAGCTTTGCTGTGGGCAGGGGAGGGAGATAAAGGTAATTGCTGTAACCCTTGCACAAGTATGTGTGGCTCTGGATATCAATGGGGCAGTTTAAAATACTTATCCTTGCGTGGGTATATTAATCTTCTGTGACTAGCTGCGGTTTGCAGGGGTGTTAGTACTAAATGTATAGCAAAGGGAGTAGTGTTAGAGAGCTTTCGATAGAAATACCTGGTGTGGCTGCCATTTTCAAGGGTTTATGTCTCTGTAACAAAGTTCCGTTGGGCTCTCAGTAGAAAATCATATTTTCATCAGATCGATACTCTTATTATCATTATAATTTCTGAGTCACACTTGTTACTCTTTCATAGATGGTGATAGATGTAAGGACCAGAAAACCATTGGATCACAGTAGAGAAAAATAATGAAATCTATTCAGACATTTAAAGCAAAAGGTTAGATCCAAGGCACCCTCCCCTTGAGGCTTGTAGCAGGGTCTTGGCAGTCTGCTGAGCCTGGGTCTGCCTTGCCCGTCTGGAAATTAGGGTGAAAAGCACCAACTTGATCCATGTCAGAGAGCCCGTCCAGGTACTAGCAATGAATAGCATTTTATTCCCATTTCCAAAAGGAGCAGATGGCACAGAAAGAGGTATCGGAATCGGAATTTGCTTTGAACTGGGTTTAGTAATCCATTCTAGGACAAAAGAAATGGCCTCAAGTTGCACCAGGGGAGGTTCAGACTGGATATTAGGAAATTTTTTTACACTGAAAGTGTTATTAAGCCTTGGAATGGGCTGCCCAGGGCAGTGGTTGAGGCACCATCCCTGGAGGTTTTCAAAAGCCGGGTTGACATAGTGCTTAGAGAACCGGTTTAGGGATGGGGGGGTTCTTTTGTATGGTTTTCTATTGTTTTTTTTAATCAGAGTTAGGCTGATGGTTGGACTAGATGATCTTAAAGGTCCCTTCCAACCTAGATGATATTCTATGATTCGAGGGAACAAAATGGGATGTGCTTTTAAAATCCAGCCCGATGACTTAGAGATGGCGGTGTCTGCGCACAAACGCCGTGCAGCTCCTTGCTGGGTGCCCCAGCACAACACGCCGAGGCGTTTTGGCTTCCAGATGCCTGAAGTGGAATCGTGCCAGCGATGAAGTTAGTCCAATATTTGTAGCTTACTAATTGATCACACTTCCAGACACCACTGGGAAGGAGACTTGAAGGTCCAGCTGGGCTATGAATAACAGCATCGTTATGATTGCTAGACTAAAGCCAGAGATAATTTTTCTCCTTTTCTTTTAACTCCCCGTTGAAATAGATGATAGGCATTAAAATGTAGGCAGGAGAAGGGAGCAGGCTGTGGTTTTGCTTCTTTTGGTAACCACCTCTGCTTAGATACCCTTCTAACCATACTGCACATTTGATGTAAAGGCCTGCACTGTGTGGCACTGACAGAGTTCTGCTGTTACAAAATCTCAGAATCATATGGGGTTGGAAGGGACCTCTGGAGATCATCTGTTATCCTGTTCTTAATGATTTTCTATGAATCGATTCTATGGTATTGTGGTTTCTCCAACTCCTCTTCTCCACAGCACACTGTACTACAGTATAAATAATCCTCCTTTCTACATCAAATGTGGCTTATTTTGCTTTAGACCTCAAAATTGCTCTGTGTGAGGAATTACCCTTACCCTCCAGGCTAAGGAAGTCCTAACCTATAGAGGCTTACTTGTCATATTTATGCAAATAATTGTAGGTGTCGTGGGCAGAGCAGCAGTACGAAAAGAAGCGAACTAAGCGTGCCGCCGTGGGACAGACAGCAGAAAACCTTTTCAACGATCCCATGTGGAATCAGCAGTGGTATCTGGTAAGCATTTGTTCCGTTGTGGGTCTGGGGATGGTGAATTTCAGTCGTGCTATCAGCTGTGTCATTTCACTTGCGTCAGAGCGACTGCGCTGAAAGGAATAAATGAAGAGTCCCTCTCATTAGCATATATGCTGTAAAAATGAGAGATCTCTGGGATAATATTTCCAGGCAACCTTCTCTTTTCTTTGAAGTGTCATTTGTGTCAGGATTCTAAAAGCCAATTGAGGCTGCTCCTCGGGACAGGGATTGGTATGAGAAAGCAGCGTAATGGTTAAAAGCTGCCTTTATGATACTTTCAAAGTACTTGCTGTTGGCGTATAAGAAATCCCTTATGGTGACTGAAGCTGGCCGTGTATTCGCTTATTAAAGTCGGTATTGCACTCCAGATGAAAACAAAAGCATGTACGTGCATGTGACAAGCACCTTCAGCCTCTTGGACTAGGAATTAAACGGAAGAGCATCTCCACAGCTCCTGTGTTCAAAACCTCCAGGAAAAGAAGCTCTGTAGTTTCTCTCTGCGTGCAACAACTCAGAAATACAGGCGATCATGTATTTTTTATATGGTCTCTTTCAAGAGTCTGTATTTCCACTGCACATCTAGCTGTACCTTCAGTCTAGGCTTCTTTGCTTTCACTCGGAATAGGGATGAGATTAAAGGTGGGTAGAAAAAACGAAGAAAGGTCAAGCACAAGTGTGGCCCAAGTGGCTGGAAATACCTTTCTCCAGTTCAGCCTGGAGAAAACAGACCAAGCTGTAGGCTGTTTGTATAGTGCTTTGCTCTCTTTCCTTTGTTTGAGCTAGGAAAAATAAACTATAAACTGCACAGCATAAAATATTTCCGCAAAGATTCCTGTAGACTTATTTTCAGCATAAAAAAAAGGTTATCTTTAAGAATTTTAACTTTTCTTTGAAGCTGAGTATCTCTTTGCTTCTTTGCCTGTTTCCAGTAGGAAGCAGGAAATGTCCAAGATGTCTGTATTGGACAAATACACGAACACACAGAGAGTTCAGAAGAGCAGATTTGTGAAAAAAGCAATGTCTTGCTTTCCAGGAGACGTGATTCCTTTTCCCACCTTTTTGTGGTTTTCGCTTCTTTTCTGTCTAGTTTTCCCACATGAGAAACAGAAATATGATACTTACCCTTGTTTGCAGTGCACATTGAATTTTTTCTGCTTAAGTGCATAAATGTGTTAAATATTTTCTTGCAAAATATGTTCCTTGCCTTGTAGTAAATAACTTATTATTACCTTGTTATTATGATTCGATGGCAACAGTTTTTAGCTCTATTCAGTGTGCCTTCACACATCACCAGAAAAAAATGATTATTTGATAGATTCTAGAGAACAAAACTTGAAACCTCACATAATTCCCTGAACAGCAGCAGTCAGAAAAGAAAGTGTAAAATGAAAGAAAGGTCATTCCCATAACAAATTTCTTTTTCTAAGCCTCATATTCTATGCAACATTCCTTCAGAAAAAAGAAATGAAAAACCTGCGTTCAGCTAATGCAGTTATTCACAAAGAAACAGAAGAAAATGCTTTTTTAACATCTATGGCTTTATGGGGGTTGTAAGCAAGTTTTCTAAATCAGATGTATGTACTGCACATTTAATGTTAGGGAGGAAAAATGACCCATTTAGGAGCTACTCTTCAAAGAACTTGCTGTGGAAGAGAAGGCTGTAGATGATTCATGCTTCCATCTGATATACCACAGGAGCAGTAATGAGGGTAGTAAACAGAAAGTTGTGATTCAGCACAGTTGTCCCTAACCAAACGACTACCTTAATTGTTTCATCCATTAATTATTTTGCTCTGGCTAACTTGGACGTCAAAGGAGAAAAGGCGTTTGGGGAAGAGGCAGCTCCCCGTGCTGTGGGCAGTGTCTTGGCTTCTCATCAAGGGACAAGAACAAACACGAGCAGGTCTGATGATTAACTCGACGCTCCAAGGTTCATCAGCACATCTCTGCCATTCCCCTGTTCCTGCTGCCCACCTCCAATAAATGCGAGATGCTCTATGTTCAGAGGTTGTCTTCAGGGGTCTTCAGGCCACAGGGCAAATCTTTCAGTGCTACAAGTATTTGAAGAAACTCATTTTTGTTACATCTTTGCAAAATTTGAGCAGAATATACAAATTCAGGCTGGGATGATTTAGAGCGCCTTTAAAATATGGCTTTGGACCTGTGTAGTGTAAATGGATGAAAATGTTGACATATTTTATTCCTTTCTGCTCCCCAGCAAGATACACGAATAACTCCATCCCTGCCCAAACTGGATCTCCATGTTATTCCTGTGTGGCAAAAAGGGATTACAGGCAAGGGTGTTGTCATCACGGTACTGGACGATGGCTTGGAGTGGAATCACACTGACATCTTCAATAACTATGTAAGCTTGGGCATTAGAATGCTATGGAATAAATTAATCAATGTTAAGTTTGATATACAGAGGCTCTTCTTCAGCTCGCTGCCTGTTCTGTAAGTCAGCTCCTGCAGAATGAAATATTAGCCTTAGGCATAATTTGGAACCTGGTCTGTGTCACGGGAAGCTGAATGTTATTTAGCAGGGTTTTTTGTTAGGTTTTTTTTTCTCCCTTTGGTGGATTTAGTTCCGAGGCATGTTTTTATACCGTGGTTTAATGCTGAATTATTAAAGCTCTGTGAAAAATTTATGGAATTGTTAATGCCCATCATATTCTACCAGCTTGGTTGCTGTCAATATGAGCCACACCAAATAAATAGATGCAAACTCCAGAACTCGTTTTACTACACATTTTCAAATGCATTTTCTAGTTGTCCGAATTAATTCTGGTTTTGTTTTGTTTTGTTTTTAAATGTAGGACCCACAGGCAAGTTATGATTTCAATGACAACGATCATGATCCCTTTCCTAGATATGACCCAACAAACGAAAACAAGTGAGTAGCTTCCCAGTTGTAAGAAGAGAACAAACCAGTACCTCATTAATTTGTGTTTTAGAACATGCAAATGCAGAAATATCCATGCATGTCTCATGTGACAATTATATAATAAAAGGAAGTATTTTAATAATAGAATCACAGGAAGGTTGAGCTTGGAAGGGGCCGCTGAGGGTCATCTGGTCTGAGCCCCTGCTCAAGCAGGGAGACCTAGAGCCAGTTGCCCAGGACCACATCCAGATGCTTTTGAATATTTCCAAGGAGGAACACTCCACAGCCTCCTTGGTTGCCCGAGGAGGTGCTGGTGCTTGGTCACCTTCACAATAAAAGAGAGTTTCTTGGTGTTTGTAAGGAACCTCCTGCGTTTCAGTTTGGATGAAGATCTGTATGTAACATTGGCACAAAAACTGGAAACTAAGAAAATTAAATTCCCAGATGAAGAGCTACGTAATTGTAATCTTGGTGTAATGGCCTGAATTTCTTCATATCTTTGTGTGTGCAAGGTACTGGTTTGTTTCTGTAAGCTGAAAGGAACAGTCTGTTCCTGTCACCATGTGTGTTTCTAGAATGATACCTCCCAAAGCAGGTTTTGACTTCATTTCTCTGATTTGCACTGAACATTTTAAAAGCATGTGACCTATGGAGGGCTCTGGAAGAGATGGTGTCTTAGAGGATCCTACCAAAAGACCCCTCCCTTCAGGTCAGCTTTTGTAGCTAAGGATGCTGTTTTCCAGTTTTGCCAGTACTGTTTAGACCAGTAGAAGAGCTTCTAGCTGGGCGCAGGCAATCTCGGGCGAGGTGATGCTTCTGACCTCCTCTTGTATGGCTATGTCACATGGTCAGACACTGCAGCGGGTTACAATTACTCCTGGGAAAAGCTTTCTGTCTCTTCTGAGGCATATAGAAGCTTTATTTAGATCAGATTTGACCTAAATGTCCTCAAGGTGATAACGTAAGAAGTCTCAAAAGGCTTGAACACAAGACAACCCACCAGTTCACCCAGTGGACTTGAGGAATCTTGTCCTGTGCCCTCTCTAAAGCTAATGCTATGGAACATCATGATGGGTCTGTCATGCCTAGGTGTATCCATGGCAGTTCAGGGAGGGATTTTGTCCATCAGAAAGAGAAAAGAGTGTACCTCTTTAAAAGCTGGTACGCAGAATAAGTCAATTTCTTAAGCCAATAAGGATGCTGCTACTCAATCAAGGTGCAGTAAGAAACTGATACACTGGTTCCCTATTGTCTACCAGACAATACAATATCATCCACAGCATAAATCAGTGTATGGGAAAAAAACCAATCAATCAAAAGATAAATGTCCCGTGAATAAGACATTTGAAAAATGACATTTCTACTTTGTTACAGCGTTGCTTAAGAGCAGGAAGCCATTATCCTCTTGTTGCGATGACATTATCTCTTAAATCTACCTGTATTGCCTCTAATCTTTATTAATAAGTAAATGGAATTCAGCCCAGAAGCATTCGAACACTTCATTGAATAATAATCTGCAGTATTAAATAATACAGCTCTTGTACAATTACACTTATATGAAGGTTTTCTGTATCGTGGAATAAGAATCACCTATGGCAAAAAAGAATTGTGTAGAAAATACTTGGTTACAAGAAAAATTTAGCAACGGTGAATATACTTTAAAGGCTAGCTTTCTGAAATCCTAAGTAAATGCAGTCCTTAAAAAAAGAGTATTTAAATGTGTGATTAAAAAAGGCCTGTATCATTTTATGTATCAATTTTATGCTACTTTTGCACTATACTGAAATACTGGTATCAAATAGATCTAAGGACTTCAGTGTGACTTACCTAAGGTATTTATCACCTCATCACAATGATCCTTTGATCATTAAGTAGGTAAAATTATGTTGATTACAGACTAAGAGAAACAAGTATTTTTGTGTCATGTGGATACAGCTGAAAAGCTGTTCAGTAGCTGCATTGCGTTAATTTAAAGGAGGACTTCCACCAAATCAGCAAGGTCATTGATGAGTCTTTGTGTACATCACACAAAGAAGTCATGAGAAGTGGTTTCTTCTTGCTGTGTTTATTCAGGCATGGGACACGGTGTGCAGGGGAGATTGCCATGCAAGCCAACAACAGAAAATGCGGCGTTGGAGTAGCCTACAATTCCAAAGTCGGAGGTAAGAAAATTAAGATAATTAGATGTCTGATACGAATGGGAACCAGACAGATCCTGTGAAGAGCTGAGTGTTTTCAGCTACAATTAATCTGAAATTCGAATGGTTGATCCTACTCAGAAAACACCAATCTGTCAGTATTAGGCTACAGAATCCTGCCTGGCATAGTGGAGAGTGTTTCGTGTGTGTGACAGCATTTCTTGAACGTCAGCACACTCTCTGGAATTCAGTTATCAGGTGAGTATAGGAAGAATATATAACAAAACCAACAACAATCTAGGTGTTGCTGTTGGTGATGATGATGTCAGTGATAATAATAATAATAGCAACAACCTACCCAGAGATAAGACTATTTTTTAAGGAATGATGGACTCACTTATCTTGGAAAGCAGTGGTAGGGGGGAGGAGAGGGCTTGAGAAGAGTTAAAGTAAGAATGTACAGATTTATACCCACCCTTCTTGCTTGCAGCATATTGTTTCCATCTACACAATTACGGTCGAAAGGTCACATCAGTCAAGATCCTCAAGCTGCTGTGGTTTTTGTTTCAACAGCTTACTTCTCCACTATCATCCTAAGTTAATTTTGAAAATAACTGGAGTCTTGCTTGCCCGTCAATCATTACTGCCATTTTTTATTTTTTTTTTGAAGCGGTGACTAAAAGTCTAATCCATTATAGGCTTATGAAATAGTCATGATCAAAGTATCAGTCGCAAATGGTTATTTAGCTCAGAGGAAGATACTTGTAGAGTCCTAGTTTTTCCATTACTCCTCTCTTCTCCTTTTAAACAAAGGGATGATGAGTGGCAATTGACACCCATAACTGCCGCTCCCACCGTTTCAGCCTGGTGTTTGTGGGTTCCCATTTACTCTGCTGAGCTGTCACACATGTCAGCTCTGCTGTCTGCCTTCGCCCTAATGCACTATGCTGTCATGCTCTGTTTAAATAAAATACCTCACTCATAAGACGAAAGATGCCAAATTTTCAAAGCAGGGCAAAATGGATGAAGCTGCAAAGACGCCCGAACTCCCACTGTGCCCGTGTTTTAAGGCACTTGCATCTACAGAGAAGACCCTTCCACAGTTATTTGCATATTTTCTGTGTTCATTTGCAAAGGCAACCTGCAGATTTGTGCGGGGTGATTTGTCTAGAAGGGGAAAATAACAGAAGGAAAAGCAGCCCAGCAACCCAAATTACCCAGAAAGTTACTTATACCTAGGTGGGGAGGGAGAAAGAATAAAAAAGTTGGAAGAAATTGTAAGCTGTTATTTAGGACCGGCCTGACTGAGATAAAGATGTAGCAAAAATACATTCAAAGAGGAATGGGAGATAGGAGAAGTCTTCAAAAGATTCAGATAAATTTGGAGTGGCTAAACAGTGCAAGGCTTTTTTGATGTTCCGAGCTGTACAGGGATTCACTTCTTCACAGGCTATTTTTCTCCTATTTTTTTTTTTCAAATCCATGAAATGATGCATTACACACTTGTATTTGACATTAGTTCAGGGTGACTCCTTTAAGCGGCTGTTTGCTCGTAGCAGTTGTGGCTGGTGAGTCCTGTGGTCCCCAGCCAGTGCCTCCTCTCTGATAGCCAGCCAGAGCTGCTTTCGGGAGAGAAAACCTGGAATACCTTGTTCTCTAACCATCAGAGATTGGTTTAACTTTGCCCTGAGGGGCGAAACAAAACATTCCATTCAAAATTTTGGGTTTTCCATGAAAATGCTGACTTTAGTAATGCTGAGCATTCCCAGCAGTTCCCTCCCCAGCGCCTGGCCCTGGGCTGGAGCCCGGGTTAGTCCTTGGGGTGCTTTGGGGCTGTGGGTCCCCACGGCTTTTCTCTGCACCCTGCCAAAAAGAGCACTTCTTGATGGCAGTGCCCGGGGGGACCTTTAACAGCCCCCTCTGGCTCTGCTCAGAGCGAGGGAACGTGTCTGCATCCCTTGCTGATGGAGGGAAGCCGGGTGAATATAGAGATATATGTGTATATATATATATATCGATATGTATTGAGGCATACCTACCCCCAGCTCTGCGCTGCGGTATTTCCCTGGTGCTGCCATGGAAATCAAATGATTAAGAAGCTCCATTTTGCAACGGACGGGGCTGAGAGTGCCCACACAGTGGTGTGTGGCTAAAAATAGCCTCCTGCCAGGCAGAGACATGGATGTGTCTGGAATTACCTTGGGCTCTGCCCTTCGGCTTCTGGCGGGGCTGGTGCAGGAACAGGGCAGAGTTTGTGCACAAGGAGGTGGTTGGAGTCTGCTGAGGGAGACATCACCGCAGCCACCAGATCCTCCAGTTGACTTAAACAAGCTGGATTTTTGGAGATCACAAAGACAGGACAGTGGGGGGGTTGCGTTTTGGTTTTTGTTTTGTTTGTTTTTTTCTTCTCTTGAACTGTTTTAATCAGTATATTGTCAGCGTTCATGTTTTCCTCCCTATGACATTATTTATCTGCGGAGTTGGCTTTGTCACCTTCTGTGGGCAATGTCTGAGTGTGTCTCCTGCCTTCCCAGTGTCCCAGTGTTCAGTGTGGCACACCAGCACCCCCAGACATCCCCACACAGCCAGGTCTTTGCTCACAGCGCCCCGGTGCCAGGGAGCCTCACGGTTCTGAGAAATGAAAAATGAGTATTATTCAAAATGTTACGAGTTTAAGCCTATCCAAGGCAAGTGGTGTTTTATAGTACCCCAGGCACAGGATATACCTTTGATTCTTTTCCCGGCTTTGTGAGCGATAGTGGAGGAGCGGTGGTTGAGCGGATTAACTCCTTTGTCTGCCTTTGCCACTAATTAGTATGAAATAATAAAGCACAGCTGTACCTCAGAGGTATTACGAGTCTTAGAAGCCAGCCTTTTGGGAAATGAGTTATGCTTACAGTCTTTTTTTTTTCCTCCTTGATAGTATAAAAAAAGAACAAGACGCTGAGCTCCAAGGGTGAGGTTGAGAGGGGGGTGGGTTCTGTTGTTTGGAAGTGTTTTTTTTTTTTTTTAATAGAACAACCACATTTTGCCTGCCGTGCTCTGGGAAAAATCCGCATTTTGTGGAAAATACTAGAAAATGAGTGCTCATAATTCACCAACTGCCGGCGATGGTGCAGCTGCCGTGGTACTAACTTGCCAAGCTCAAGACGACCCAGACATTTTTATTGCTTGAAAACAGGGGCTGCATCCCGACTGCTGTGGCTCTTATATTGCTGCTGTTGCTGGGAGAGCGGTGCCACGGTGGGAATCCTGCCAGGCTGCTGCTGCTTCCACCCTCCTCCAGCCTTGGACGTTGGTGGAAATCCCACTGCAGAGCCGGGGGTTTGCGGAAGGAGGGATCCAGCCCAGATGCGCCGCTGCCTGCCGCTGAATTTTAAGTACCACTGAGATCAGGCGTGCTCTGAGGAAGATGAGAATCACGTAGTTGCTAATAAAATGTGAACGGCCAGATCCCCCCAGCATCCCCGGGTTGCTCGCCGTAGAGGAGATGTGGCAGGAAAACAACAGCGAGAATCTCTTTGTGGTGAGGACCGAGGAGCTGGTGAAAAAGCAGCGTCACAGAGACAGCAGAACCTTAGCGACTGCGAGGGCAAAGCTGTTTAGGCAGAACATTCAGATCCACACCTTTGAACTAAAACTCTCAGGGCTCGTAAACATAAAAGTAACGTTGATAAAGCCGGTTTAATTTCAGTGACTCGCTAGCAGTTTGAGAAGTCTTCGTTACAGATTTAACAGAGGGGAAGAAAGAGCTCAGTGCAGTAAGAGAGAGCAGGAACAGTAAGCAAAACATCATCTTCTTGGCTCTCTGCAGAAAGAGAGAAAGAATTAAATGAGGCAACCAAGGTTTTAAGAGCTGGGCTTTTTTTTACTGTTTTTAGAGAGCGCTGAGCTCTGCAAATACAGGGTAAGTGTACACTTTTGGGCTTAGATGAACAGCAGTAGGCTGTGTGGCAATTGCTACGGATTAATTTTGCTGCAAACTTTACAAACAGTTGACAAAAACAGAGAGGGAAGAGAAAATGAATGCATTCTGCTTGTTTTTTTTCCGTTAAGGTATACGCATGCTGGATGGCATAGTGACCGACGCTATCGAAGCCAGCTCCATCGGCTTCAACCCCGAGCACGTGGATATTTACAGCGCGAGCTGGGGCCCCAACGACGATGGTAAAACTGTGGAGGGACCCGGGAGACTGGCACAGAAGGCTTTTGAGTATGGCATAAAACAGGTACCACGCTTGAGAGAAAGATCTGGCAGAGAACAGGACTTTAAAATGGTTGATATCGGGGAAGAAATGAAAATGGTTTTGTGCTCTCTTTCCTCAAACGTATTCGAAAAGGAGAAGATGGATTTTAATAGTAGAGGTCAGAGAAATTACCAGCCAGAGCAGGACTTTTTAAAATGCACCATCGGGGCTTTCTAAGCTGATTTTAAGCCGCCATTCTCCACAGATAATCTTTCTTTTCCCATCCTTACTTTTGCTGCCTTTGTCTCGCCCTACCCCCACCCTTCTCTGCTGCTTGTTTTGCACTGAACAGTAATTGGATTTCTGCACTGAAAGCCTATAAAATTTAATACAAAATTTCTGCTTTGTGAATATTTTGCGCTGTGAAATAGCGATGCGTTTCAGCACCCTGTGGATGGGCTTGTTTTATGTTAATTGCATTAGTTTGTAAATTGGTGCCAATCCTGATTCAATTAAAATGAAGATAGTAAAAATGCATGATGAAAGGTATTGGAAACAATGTTTTTACAGTTCTTTTTTTATGTTATCCTCTTTAGATCTGGTTGGAGGATAAGTAGGGTGCAAACTGAGAGCTACTGGGGTTGTATTGATAAAATACTCTTGCTTTTGCCAGTGAGGTGAAAAGATATCAAAAGATGTCTAATGCAGTGAGGAAGAGTGAATCAGAAGCAGGAGAGGAGAGGAATGGAGAGAAGCTCAAAGGACAGAAGCAAAGAGGAAGAGGATTTTGGCAGAAGGGCCGTTAACATTAGCAGACAGAAGGAGGGAAGATGAGAGACGAGGCTGGCAGCTAACGAACAGAGTGAGGGAAGGACGGAGACAGAGGAGTGGACTGGTGATAAACAGAGATCTAAGCCCATAGGTAGGCAGCAAGAGAAGATGGAGACTCAGAGGAGTGGACTGGTGATAAACAGAGGTCTAAGCCCATAGGTAGGCAGCAAGAGAAGAGGGAGAGTTAAAAGCAATAATTAGGGAAACGACCTTCAGTGGTCTTACACTGAAAAAGCAGGTCATTTGGCAAAGGATGTATCTTTTCTGAAAAATAGTTTTATTTTTTAAGGGGAGAAAATTTACCCATTAGTTTTTCAGGCTTCCTTATGCAAGGGTCTGGGTGGTCTCTGTTCTGCCTGAGGTTGGCTGGAGTTGGGGTTGCCAACAACTCACCCCTGGTGCCTTCACTGCAGGCCTGGTCAATCACTTAAGTGTATGCTTATTCTTAAGCACCCCAGAGGCATCAGTAGCTCTCTGAGTGAGTTTGCATACACCAGTGCTTATGGTGTATGCAGCCTTTATTCTCAGAGGAGGCTACTATCTCATTTTCTATAACGGACTTGGCTTGTCCTCCCCCTTTTAGCAGATTTATCACAAGGAGTCCAGCTTACTTGTCTTTATCTTTAATGTTTTAAGTGCTGCAAATGTCTTAGCACTTGCATGCATAACCTCAAATCTCGTCTAAGTGGGATGATAAAAATCTGTATTTCAGCTGCTGTTTGCATGGGATGTACGTATATTAATAACAATCAATGTAAGAACTTTTGCTCTTCACACAAACCAGGTTTTTTTCCTGTGAAGGACTAGCACAGTTTTAGACTGTATGGGGTGATAGGTGTCTCCTCTATGGTATCTGTGATAGTTTACATGCTGTCAGTGTCAGTTATTAGCTGCTGCTCCCTCATTAGGCACTGGAGACCAGAGCAGAGAATGAACGTGGTCATGTCTGGAGGCAGGTGGTGCTGGCCCACAGATGAGAGAGGGAGAGGTGAGAGAAGGGAGGGTTTTAGTTGGATGTGTTTGGTGGTTCACTGTGGTTCAGCAAGGCAATGATAGCCATGAAAGCCTTCCTTACAAAAAATAAATTGGTAGAAAAGTCATATCATGTACATCATTCATACTGCTTACCCCTACCTTTGTGATTACAGGAAAGGCAAATTAAATAAACTCTGATGAACTTGGAATTTCTTCATAAAAAGGGGCATTTTTCCTAGAACCATTCAGGGCCAAAACATGTGGGAAAACTTACCTGTTGAGCAGAGACTCTGTTCTTCGCTTAGAAACCTATTCTGAGGAGAGTTGCTGTACCTGGAGCACTAAACCTAGACCAGTCAAAGTGAGAGATGTACCAAAGGGTGTGAAGTAGGATGCTTCAAGTAGCTGTTTTCTTTCTGTCTCTGTCTTCTACAGTGCTTCTGGAAATTGTCCTGCTCTACCTGAAAATGTTTGAAACGTTAGGCTTTTGGTGGGGGGTGGTGGTTAAGAATACATTACAGAGACTGAAATCTCGATGATAACCACTCATTTCCGTTTTCTCCAGGGCCGGAATGGGAAAGGCTCCATTTTCGTGTGGGCTTCTGGGAACGGAGGCCGTCAGGGTGACAACTGTGACTGTGACGGTTACACCGACAGCATCTACACTATCTCCATTAGCAGTGCTTCGCAGCAAGGCCTTTCTCCCTGGTATGCAGAGAAGTGCTCTTCAACTCTGGCCACAGCATACAGCAGTGGGGATTATACTGACCAAAGAATTGTAGGTCGTTTTTACCAGATTCAGAACAAACATAGAAATGTGTTATATATGCAATTTCAGAGCTCTTAGACGCTTGGTCTTGCGTGCCTGCTTTATGTTGTGTGTTGCGTGACGTGTTAGCGCTTTTGCCTTTGAAACAGGGAGGGGTTTGTAATCCCAAAGGTGGTTGTGTTCCTGGAATATCTCCTGTAAAGCAATGGCTGAACAAAATCATGGTGTTGGTGTGATGAAATCAGCGTGCTGGGTCTGTCTGCCCTTGGTGTGTGACAGAGGGTCTCTGCCTGAAGTCTGGTACCGTCCCACTCTTCAGAAGGGGCAGAAGAAGGGACATTTAGAGTGAAAGGAAAAAGAGCCTGTGCAGTTAGTGCTCGGTGTGAGTCAGCACCTCTGGTGTGTACCTTGCCATTAGCTTTTGTGAGGTTGTCAGCCCCCAAGTTCCCCCCTTACGGCAGCAACAAAAGTTCTTCCCAACCTGTGGAAGGTGCCCAGCGAGCCGGCAGAGCAGTCTGTGTGCCTTCACTAACTGCACAAGAAATAGCTCGCACTGAAGAAAATTGCTGCGATAAAAATAACGTTGGAGTACCTGTAATTTCTGTTCAGCACCGGTGGATGCTAATTTTACAATAAACTGCGTTGATGGGGATTAAAACAGCATCGTGCCAAGTTAGCCAGGAGATCAGTCCTTCCAAGTGGCTTCTCCTCGTAGCCGAGGTGTAGATACTGGGGCAGATGAGTTTGGTATTTAATTTCCAAATAAAGCACGTGTTTCATTGCAAATTACAGTTCTTCTGCCGAAGAGGGAGCAGAACACCAATACTAATCCTATGAGTAATTTCCTAGCAAGCAGTAATTTTAAATGTTCTAGGCCCAACACAATGATCTGTTTTTATGATTCACCAGTAAGCTTGAAACACTTATTGTGAAACCTTAGAATAAAATAAGATATTCAGTGTGGGAGTATTTTGTTCCAACACAAAGCGTTTTGATACAAAAATTATAGTTGAAGTAAAAAGAGTGGATTGAGATATGAACGGATTTAAACATCCATCACTTTTTCTGCTGGTGAGGAACGTATTAATACGTACTAAATAAAGGAGACCTGGTTATATTTGTGAGTGTGGATATGACTGTATTTACAACTGTTTATTCATGCAATCTGTGAGGTTTTTTTTCCGTTTTCTTTTTCTGGCAGACAAGTGCTGATCTTCACAACGAATGTACCGAGACTCACACTGGGACCTCTGCGTCCGCACCGCTGGCAGCAGGAATTTTTGCTCTAGCCCTGGAAGCAAAGTAAGATGTCACACAGTTAATTACCTTTGAAACTCCTCTCTCTTGATCAGCCACCCCACCATCCTCCCTGAAACCTTGTCTGCCTGAAAGCAGCACCGTCTCACGCTGCAGCTCTGCTTTCTGTCAGCCAGAGGTGCTCAGCCTGGTGACAGAAATAAGCAGCCTCTTGCCTCAGCACCTTCCGAGCAAAGAGGCATCAACATAAGTAAAACATGATGACCGTGGAACTTCGGTCCATTTTGTGCATTGTTTACTGAGTTCTGGTCAATTGCACTTAAAAACATCGAGGCTGTGCGTTTACCGGAGAACATCATTTGAAGGCAGTAGGCTGCAGGAGTTTAAATGAAGTTTTGAGTCAATTTGCAGAACCTTTTCTGCTGGTGATGAGATGTAAAGTGGAAGGTACCCAGTCCTGACTGTTGGGTGCCGTAGGAGTGGTAATGACTTAGAGAGGGTTAAAAAGATCAGGACAGGACAGGGCGATGGCATTTTTCACAGAAAACACTGCGGGCATTAGGGCGTAGGCTTAGTGCTGAGTGGTGTGGGTTCAGCTCTGTGTTTTATTGCATACCTCTTTAATGACTTAAGCCAAGATACTTAGTGCTGTATTTTAAAGGGTGGAGTTAATCACAGATAGAAGCAAATACCCAATGAATCTTCAAAGTCCAGGTCCCATAAAGACTGGTGGGAAATACTAATTTTGCTAGTTAACTTTAAATGTGTGAATAGTTTTGAAGAATTGGACTCTAGTCTTGGTAGTTTCCCGTTCTTCACTCACACAGGAATCTTGTCTACCTGGAGAAGTAACGTGAGGATAAGCATGTGACATGCTCTATATGTTAAAATAACGGGATGCCATATACATTAAAACACGTTCTGGTGCAGACTAGCAATTGAGTTGGATAGCCCTGAAACTATTAACAAGGAACGTTTTCTCGACAGCCCAAATCTAACCTGGAGGGATATGCAGCACTTGGTGGTGTGGACTTCAGAGTATGATCCACTGGCTGGAAATCCAGGATGGAAAAAGAACGGAGCGGGTCTGATGGTCAACAGCCGATTTGGGTTCGGGCTACTCAATGCCAACGCGTTGGTAGATTTAGCTGATCCCAAAAGATGGAAAGGTGTGCCAGAAAAAAGGGAGTGTATTGTCAAAGACAAAAGCTTTGAACCAAGGTAAGAAATTGCATTAGGAGTAACTAGGTTTATGTAGAGACTAAAGGATAATATTCTGCACAGGTGCTCTGAACCAGACTTGGAGTTTCCTCTTGATTCATTTGGTTTTGTCTTGCTGTATTCCTCGGGGGCAGGCAAGAAGCATTGGTTTGCTTGCTTTTTTTAGTGTAAGACTGATGGAAATTGCTATCATGAAGACTTAACAAAGAATAAGGTTACTATTATATCTGCTTGTGCAGCCAGTGCATGGATGATGCTGTGAGACTGAACCCAATCAGATAAGATATGAATGTTTAGACCACTATCAGAAGATGATTGAAAAGATACCCAAGTCTCCCAGGGATTTTTAAAAAAAAAACGTATAATTGGTCTTAGAAATTCTTCTCCTGTGACAGGCTTAGTATATGCTGAAATCAAGGTGATATATTGAGCTTTAGTCACATCCATAACACGTCTCTTATGAGACACGAGTGTCTCAGAGGCTCACTGAAAAGACTTAGCAGCCATGTTCACCCCAGTGTATGAGCCTGAACTGAGCTCAACACACAGGTAAGTTATAATTAGTCACGAAGCTGGTTAATCAATACAGAATCTAGACCATTTTGTTTCTACTTGTTCACATGGATTTTTTTTGTCTAGAAAAAAATGCAGCTATTTCAAAGATCAAAATTATACTGCGTAAGTGCACAAAAAAATCTGTGGAAACATGTTGCAGTGTTTTGAAGTGTCACTGCTTGGTAACGTGATTATTTATGCCATTTTACTATCAATTTGCTTTTATGAACTCTTCTCTTTCCACAGAATGCTGATCCAGTATTGATGTGTGTAATTTTACTGTTTATGTACTTTTATTGCAGTCCTCTATGTTACATTATGAAAACAAAGATGCCAAGATCCCGAGTTTAGCATTATTTATGTGGAAATTTAGATAGCCCATTCTCTTTAGAAGTAGTGGAAATTGTGAGGAGAAAGCCACACACAGCAGCTCTCTGTGCAGAGAATACACAGAGGGTGTAGGCTTTTTTTTTTTTTCTCGAGATGGCGTTGAATAGAAAGGGTTAAAACTCCTGTACCTCTTCAATATTTTAACTCAAAGATAACAGCTCTTTTGGATATTTGAATGAGGGAACCGAGTATAAACCTGGTACAGTCCTGTGATGTAGCTGACAGCAAAGACTGGGTTCTTGTAGTCAACAAAGTATTGCCAGAAACCCTTGGTTATCAAACTTGATTCCAGGGTGTGTTGCAGAAGTCAGTCTTATGCAGTGCCTATCACATGGTCCACTTCAATGTTATCTGTGCTTCCTGAACTTCCCACGGTTTTTATGGGAGCATTCAAAAAAATAATGAATGTAGAATTTGTCTTTACTTCTTCCTTTCTCATCGTTCTGAAATGGGGGCTAAGTGTGCCCATCTGCACTTCACGTAATGATCCAGGATCAAAAGTTTCTGTGAGTAATCAAAGAACTTCTGTAATTTCAACCAGATTATTAAGAGCAAATGAGGAAGTCATCATTGAAATTCCCACAAAAGCCTGTGAGGGCCAAGAAAACACCATCACATCTCTGGAGCACGTGCAGCTCGAGGCAACCATTGAGTACTCCCGCAGGGGTGACCTCCACGTCACGCTGGTTTCTCCATCAGGTACAGGAGGCAGAGATGTTTTTCTTTGTGTTGCTGTAGTGTGTAACATTTATTTCATTAAAACCCACCTCTGTGCTCCTCAGTGGTTTAAGAAGAGCTAAGTATATCGTTAGACAAACCCAGCTCCCTCCAGCAGGTGAGTGTGAGGACAGAGTGTTCTGGGAACCAGAGACCTGGGTCTCTGGAAACCCTTTCCAGCCTTTGTGTGTGCTGGGTGATTTTTGTGAGAAGAGGTTTGAAAACCATACTTCAGAAAATGAAGGCACCATTTCCGGTATGTTTTTTGTTCTGGCAAGAGGACCTATGAAAACTGAGAGTTCCTGGCAGGCAACAAATTACAGTTCAATAGTGCTTATCAGCCTTGCTATGATTTAACAAACTAATGGAAAACAGGGTGTTTGCCTCCCCAGATTTCATGTCACTGGGTCTCCCCATCGGTGTATTTAAAAACACAGTGTCTCTGTTAGGCAGAGATACTATATATATATATATATATATATATATATATATGTATATATGTATATATGTGATACTGTATGAAATACTCATATATATATATATGTAACTATACTATATGTGCTAGAATATGGCAAGTGATCTTGATGATGCTCTGAAATAACACCATAAGGAGAAAAAAAAACACAGGAGAATGGTGTAAACAACTTTGTAGAGAGTAAGCAACTGGTAGAGTTGTTGAGTAGAGTAAGATCTCTTAGACAGTAAGAACTGTTAGATTATTTGATACCCTTAGAAAAAACAGACAAGCTTTCAGATATGAATTTAAAGATCAGGCTCATCTAATTTACTGATACTAAAGGCTAATATAGTAATTAATGGATAATAAACCAGTAGAGCCTTGTTCCTTCCTTTCAATACCTGAAGGGTGCCTAGAGAAGAGCTGGAGAAGGACTCTTTGCCAGGAGGCGATAGGACAAGGGGAAATGGTTTTAAATTGGAAGAAGAAAGATTCAGATTAGATCTCAGGAAGAAATTTTTTACTCTGAGGGTGGTGAGACACTGGAACAGGTTGCCCAGGGAAGGTGTGGGTGCCCCATCCCTGGAGGGGTTCAAGGCCAGGCTGGATGGGGCCTTGAGCAACCTGGTCTGGTGGGAGGTGTCCCTGCCCAGGGCAGGGGGGTTGGAACTCCATGATCTTGGAGGTCCCTTCCAACCCAAACCATTCTATGATCCTATGATTCTATGTCATTACTGCAGGACCTCACTGGAGAGCAGGGTTAAGATGCTGTACGTACAGTGTATTTCCAAACCCTGCCTTGTCTGGGGTTCCTTTTTAGGCCTAACCTTAATCCTCCCTTTTCTGAGTTTACCTTTTTTCTTATGAGAGAGGTGTTTCCCTCCCAAGACGCAGTTCTTGCTGCTAATGCGTAGGAAGCATGGCTTCATCTTAGAAAAACACCCTTTTTGGAAAGACTGACAGCAGTAATACGTTCTTCATCTTTGGTTCTGTTTCTGTGGGTTTACCCAAGGAAGCAATAGTCAAGTGCTGCTGCCTCCACAGTTGTATCATGTTGCTATCACGGTTAAACCGTTTTTTCCCTTAGTTCTTGCTGTTTTTCCACTTTTCTGCAAAACAGTACCACCAGGTATATGTCATTCTCTTTCTATATTTACAGTGTTACCTTTAACTATATTTATAGCTTGTGATCAGGCTCCCTGGGGCTTCTCTGCCTCCTTATTACGCAAATACAGCTCCCTTGCTTGCTCCTTATATGCAAACAGGCACAGCAAATTTCCTACTGTGCAGCAGAATCTCTACTGCTGCAGAAATACCTTGTGAACTGCAGCATTTTTTTCTAATAATAATAACAATGCAAATGCTTTTCACCCTGTTAGAGTTCCAGGCTGTAACAATTTACATCCGCTCACCAAAAAAAAAAACAAAAAACAAAACAACCCAGCAATGAGTTCAGGATCAAGCTTTAGTTTCACAGCACCTGAGCTGGTTTGACTTCAAAACTCCCACCTCAGAAGTTTCCTGAACTGTTCATCAGTGGGAAATACTGGTTGTGTCTGGCCTGTGTTTCCCACCCTCTCTTATGTGCATCCACCACTTCTTTGTGTTAGGGATTGAACACTAAGCAAGATGCACCTTTTTAGTGGCACCTAACGGTTTTATGCTCTTAAATACTGCTGTGAAAATAATGAAAGTAACCACTGATCAGAAATAGCATGTTTCCTGTTCCATAAGCCTAAACACTAATACACTAAATAGCGTATTTTCCAGGTTACCTGTGTGCCAGATGGTGTGTAAGGGTGAAGGTGGGTGTGTATGAAGGGTCACTGACGTTGATTTTGCACTAACACAGGCACCAGCACTGTCCTGCTGGCTGAGAGAGAGAGGGACAAGTCTCCCAATGGCTTCAAGAACTGGGACTTCATGTCTGTCCACACGTGGGGAGAAAATCCAACAGGCACCTGGGTTTTGAGAATTACTGATGTGGTAAGTACGTCTGTATGTTAACTAGCTGTGTTCTCTCTGGAAGGTTACACAGATAACATGATCACTAACCACTACCAAGCGTGCTGAATGGTCAGTCTTCTCATTAAGCAAGTGACAACAAGAATTTATTTACACTAGATACCCATCTGAATCGAAGATTAAAGATAGGGTCATATTTTCTTGTTCCTAACATCAATGCAAAGGACCATCCTCATTTCACTGGCATGTGCCTGTCAAAACAATTTCATGCCTATGTTTTTCACATGTTATATGTCACTGAAACGAATAACTAATGTAATTTTCTGTGATTCATAGAGTGAAATACGTAATCGAATTAATATATGATTAACTGCAAATTAGTTTTTTTCTGCAGAAAAGAACAGAGGACAGATCTAGTTTTCTCTTGGTGCATGTGCATAATCTTCATTAACGCAAAACCTTTTGAATTAATGAATGCCTGGTGACCTCAGAGAGCTGTTCTGATATCTACCTTTCCCTAAATTCTTTCTTAAGAGTAATTACTTCTGGACAATGTTTAAGGATTATACAGATAAGGAAGAGATAAGTTTCCTAAAACCACCTGGGGATATGGATTACAAAGCTGCTTGACAGGCAACTGGAAAATCATTCTCTTCCAACAGAGAGTGATCAGGCACACTCATCTCTGGAGAATTTCATTGAGGTTCTCTGTTAATAAGCTTGTCATTAGGGATCAGATCCTGCCAGAAACTGGATGCTTCCTATCAGACACTGAGCCTCCCACCCCTATTGGCCTGAAACTGTAAACAGGAGGATAATGCCAAGTACGAAGCAGATGGACAAGGCAGTAGAAGTAAATATTATTACCAACAGTGCAGTGTTAATGCTGCAGGCTTATAGATAACCCCCTGGTTACAGATATCCTGCTCTTTGTCATTAATCACAGAATCACAGAATCTTCTAGGTTGGAAGGGACCTTAAAGATCATCTTGTCCAACCGTCAACCTGACTGACAAAATAATAATAATATAATGCATTTTTTGGAACAAAGCTCTAATAAGAACGTTTTTGTTTGTAATTATCTCTCATTTTCCATTTTCAAGTGAGAGGTTCCTGAAACTTAAAATAAAACAAGGTTTTTGTCCTTCAAGAAGTAGCATGCTCTTCCCTCAGCTTGTAGTGTTTGTGACTCCTGAAATAAGTTTTCACATTAATGACCCCAGCTGAAATCACAGATTACTATGCAGAGTTATTCATAATTTTGTCATAATGTAAGCTGTGTATGTAAACTTTGGTATAGACTTCCATTAGAAAAGAAGAGGTTCAGCAGCTCTCTTCAGTCACTGGCTGACTGAGGAATAAGTCTGAAAGCAGCTTTGGTAAAACAAAATTTCAGTGTTCTTGGTCCTTGTCTCTTCCACTTTCTACTGTTTAAACTCTGCTGCCAAAAATAATGGACAAAGTATTTGTTGCTCACTTCCACAGGCTGGTTTTCACATTGCTGTTGTACAGTGCCGCAGAATATTATTCCAAATTACTATTCTAGTGGTAACTTTTGTGAGGAAATTGCCAAGGAGTGGCTTAGTGTGTTATTATTTACTAATAACACAAAATAGCTACTAAACTAAATTTTTAGCATTCTGTGTTATGACAAAATTCCATTGATGCTTACATGATTGATAATTATGTTGCCTCAAAATGTGAATATTTGGATTAGTTAAGCCGCTCTATTAGATCCCACTTTCTGATATATCCTGTCTCTAATATATCAGTCTTTTGGTGCTTATAAATAATTTTCTAAATTTAGATCTTGAAAGCCTTATGATTTATGTTAGTCACTTCTCCCTACTTAACAGTCAAGTGTTCTGTTTCCTCTTATGTCCTGAGAACTGACGCTGATGTCGTGCTTGTCTTTCAGTCCAGACGAATACAAAACGAAGGCAGGATTGTCAACTGGAAATTGATTTTGCATGGGACTGAGACCCAGCCTGAGCACATGAAGCAGCCCCGTGTTTACACATCCTACAACACCGTGCAAAACGACCGAAGAGGAGTGGAGAAGATGACGGACTTCGTAGAGGTGCTGTTACTTCTTTCTTTTTCCTTGAGCATTTTTCAATTTAGAAGAAAACAGTGGGGTTTTTTTCTAGTAAGAAGACACATATTCATTTTGTATTCATTTAATGTAGCCACTGACTGCTTTTGGCTTATGTATTGTAATTTTGTCCATGTCAACAAGTGACATTTTTATTGGTCTGTTTTCATACGCCACCATCTAAGGGTTTTAGGATGGTAAGAGGGTGTTGCTACTACAGCAGTGAACTCAGCAGCTGATGCAGTTCAGTGGTGCAAGGAGGGAGGAAGGCACTGCTGGCAGACACACAACATTTCTGTCATTCCAGTGAGAATAAGTGTTGCATCCAAAAGGAGCTTTGCCTGCTAGAGTGCTTCCAGGGAATTTGGAAGGAAGTTTGTAACAAAAGATGGGAAAAGTCAGGGACTTCCTGATTCAGAAGGTTTGATTAAATGGAACTGATGCTGGTGGCTCCTTTTTCACCCCTCCCGTACCTTTTGGGTAGAGTGTTCTAAACATACTCCAGGCTTCTGAGAGAGACAGTGGGTTTCTGATGCACAGAATGTGGTGGTGTACATTTTCACAACGCTTGATAATGTCCATATCTTTGGAATACTTCCTTAATCACATCACATAAATGTGTCTCCCCATTAAGTAATTAGGATGCCATAGAATCATAGAATCACAGAATGGTTTGGGTTGGAAGCGACCTCAAAGCCCCTCCAGTGCCACCCCCTGCCCTGGGCAGGGACACCTCCCACCACACCAGGCTGCTCCAACCCCCTCCAACCTGCCCTTCAACCCCTCCAGGGATGGGGCAGCCACAGCTTCTCGGGGCAACCTGGGCCAGGCTCTCACCACCCTCACACCAAACAAGTTCTTCCCCACAGCTCAGCTCCATCTCCCCTCTTGCAGGGTCAAACCCTTCCCCCTCCTCCTAGGGCTCCCCTCCCTCATCCAGAGTCCCTCCCCATCTCTCCTGGAGCCCCTTGAGGGACTGGAAGGGGCTCCCTGGAGCCTTCTCTTCTCCAGGCTGAACCCCCCCCACTCTCTCAGCCCCCCCTCCCAGCAGAGGGGCTCCAGCCCTCCCAGCATCTCCGGGGCCTCCTCTGGCCCCGCTCCAACAGCTCCATGTCCTTCTGCTGTTGGTGGCCCCAGAGCTGGAGGCAGCACTGGGGGGTGTCTCCCCAGAGCAGAGCAGAGGGGCAGAATCCCCCCCTCCCTGCCCTGCTGGGGATGCAGCCCAAGGTGCTAGTGGCTCCTAAATGAAAAAGTAACATCGACCCACACAGAGGCAGAAATCACTCATTAGTGCATACGTTAATCCAGTCAGGTTTTCATTGACCGGTACCCTTTTTTATGCTAATCTGTATTCTAGGACCACACCACCCAGGAGAACCTGAGTGAAAAACCCAAAGTGGCAGAAGACAGCAGCAGCATCAGTGACAAAGCAGAAGATAAAACGCCATCAGAGGCCATGCTGCACCTGCTGCGGAGTGCGTTCAGCAGGCAGATGGCTCAGAAGCGGCTGCCCAAGAAGTCTGCAAGTGAGAAGTCAAATATTCCCTACGAACACTTCTATCAAGCCCTCGAAAAGCTAAACCAGCCCTCCCAGTTAAGGGACTCAGAAGAAAGTCTGTACGGTGACTACGTTGACCTTTTTTACAACGCCAAACCATACAAGCATAGAGATGATAGACTGCTGCAAGCCTTGGTTGATATTATAAATGAAGGAAACTAGACTGTAGGGTATGGCACTGAGTTGGAAATATTCATTCTTCCTGCCCCACCTGTAGTTTTTTTTCAGAATTCTGCTGTACGCTCTAGTTGTGTGATTGCTGCTTTGATTGCTTCATATTTAATACAAATACCAAGGAAGGGAAGAAAAGTGGGTGTGGGAGGATAAGGCAGTAAACTGATGCTTTTTAGTAATAGCTTTTTCCGAAGCCTTTCTTCATTATCATCAGAGTAGATTTGCCCCCTCAGGCATGAAAGGCAATAGTATTCCCCTGAAAACCCTAATGCTCTATTTTAAACAATTTTCACGTTACTTATTCTTCCACCCCATTCACTTAGCATGCAGTAGGATTCAAAACCCAAATTGCCCAGCTGTTTTGAACCGAACTGCCAAAGCTGTGGGGAGGTACTCTCATTCCTGGATTTGTAATGAATATTGCAGTCTGTCTTACATTTGGCATTTACTCCAGATCTATCACTTGCAGCCAGTACTGCTTCCATCACAGGTTTTGGGTTCCTTCTCCACACAACAATGCTCCCTTTGCCCTCTGTTCTCCCACAAAGGAGAGTCTGTTTGTATTGACTCTGTGAGCTTTGGAGGACCAACCTCCTACCTACAGAGTCTCAGATAAATTTCTAAAGTTAAATAATATAATGCCTTCTGAGATGCCCACGTCTGCAGGACAGCAGAGCTGAGATCCCCTTGTCCTTTCCTTGAGCTGTGACCAAAGTGGAGCAGAAAGGATAACTGCACCAGCAAAGTCCACCTCAAGACTGGATGCTGGAGTGCCTGTGGTAGATTGCAAGGTTTCCCAAATATCTAGGAAGTTAAGGCAAAATGGAGGGGGAGAGGTGTGAGATAAAGAAAAATGGCCCAAGAAGGGGCTCGGAAACGAAGGGGGAGAGCACATGGGATGTGGAGAAGGGAGATGAATAGAAGGAAGGAGAAGGTGGAAGAGGAGGACGGAGGTGTCTGTCAGAAGGCAGGAAGGGCCAGCAGCTCCCTCACATCAGCAGTGTACTAGACACATAGTTTTCCACACATACCTCTGTGAGAGTCAGGTGAATTAACATAATATTTTGCTTTTCATAATTTATAAAAAAAAAAAAAAAACAAACAATGCAGTGTTGGATGCTCAGAAATTTTAGGGGATCTAGAACAAGGAAATGAAGATTCCCAGGGGATACTTACCGCACTGCAGTGAAGTGCTAAAGATAATTCAAACAAGTGCTGACTGGTTTTTACTTTTCTTCTGCTCTCATCTACTATTGAAATGTGTTTTTCAGACATTATAGAAATATTTGATTGTCCTTCGCTGTCTATTACTTAAAGTGATGCAAGTGTCTGGGAGACAGGAGTTTAGCATTTTGCTCATAATTCATCAGTTCAGATAAGAGATTTTTCAAACTTCACACCAAATCCTGTAGTTTAACGGTAAATCTATTTACTGTAATGGTACTTAAGTCTTCTACGGGAAAAGGGACTGCTCTAAAGACAACTCTGAAAACTGTCTAAAAAACTTAAGATTTATAATCTCCGCTTGTTCATTCTTTGTGATGGTTTCGTGCCTATCTTGGGCTTAGTCTGCTTTTTTGCTAGCTTTAGATAGAGTTAGCTTAGTTGATTCGAAGAATTCTTCTGTATTTCTGGTCCATGCTTTGAAGATAACAGCTCCACCATGGAATGTCTCTTGTACTGAATCGCTCCCTCTCTACTAAGAAATTTGCTTGGAATGAGAAGTCATTAAAAAACCCCCGTGAGTGGTCCAAAGCAGAAAGCTTTCTTGTGCTGTCCCGTCAACGCACAAGCTTTCTGGCAATACTGAACAAGCAAAACATAAAATTTTCTAATTGCTGCTATTGAGAGCTCTAACGTGTTTCCACCAATGTTTAATTTTCAGAAGTGGGAGTTAATCTCCACCATAAATGCTCCCATCTGGTGAGGTGGGACCACTCACAGTCCTGTGCAGTGGAGCTGGTTCCCTCAGATAACAGCGGCTGTAGCCAGTGCTCGTTCAGGTGTGTCACAGCAAGGAAAGTTCTAGCAACACTCAGTCAGCCCTTGAAAGAAGTTTTCAGGTTAAACGGGTGGAAAAACTTAGGACCCTCCTTCGTTTTAAGACCAGTTCCCACGTTGTAGCCAAAGTTTCGTCAGAGGACAAGTTTAAAAAATCTCTCTTTTGAATGTTTCCAACCCAGAGTAGATTGTAGAGGACTAAATTATTTTTATTGTTAGTCTTTCCTTGGTGCCTGTGTGGGTTTTGTGAAAAATGTAAAAGGAAAAAAAAAAAAAAAAAGTTTTCTCTCAGAATTTTAAATTATATTTTCGTTACAGGTATTTATAATATAGCAAAGATTTTATTGAACAGACAGAATTTTAAAAGGCATAATAAATTATATTGAAGAACCCGATTTTTTCTTGGAAAAGAGACAATTTCATCCAATAAAGGTATTTTTTAAAAGGCATGTTCCAACAGCAACTGCAACATGTATGTGATGTGATGTTAAAACTTGTCTACTAGTAGCATAATACAGTGTGTTAGCAGAGCTCAGTGTGTGGTCTTAACATTTGTGAGATAAAGTCAAGCTGCTGGCTTCAAAGGACGGGTAAATAGAGTTTAGAACTAAAAATAACGGCTCGAGGACATAACCAGGGGTTGGGTTGAGAAAATGGTGTAATTTATTGAAAATGAAGCGATGTGGGGGATTCCTGGGCCAGGACCCAAGGGGCACTGACCTCTGGCAGCAGCAGCCGGTCGGCGTGGGCTGGGGGCACCGGGGGCAGCAGCAGGGTCTGCAGCCCAAACCCACTCTGAATGGCTCTGAATGACAAAATTCTGCCCATTTCACATCCAGGGGTGTGTGTCTGAAGCGCCACAACGAAATAGCGCAGCAGAACAGGGCAAGGGTTAAATTAGAGATACACGTCTTCACTTCTTGGCATCAGAGCAACAGCAGTTAAAATATTTGTTGATTTTTTTTACCCTCCTCACTACTCAAATTTCAAGCCAGTGAAGAAAAAGGTCCTGATAGGCTGGAAATGGTCATGGAGAACTGCTTTTGGGGGGCTGCTGTTTGCTGGTCAGCACGGAGGAGTGGGAGAGTTGGGGGGTTCAGCCTGGAGAAGAGAAGGCTCCGGGGAGACCTCAGAGCCCCTTCCAGTCCCTCAAGGGGCTCCAGGAGAGATGGGGAGGGACTCTGGATGAGGGAGGGGAGCCCTAGGAGGAGGGGGAAGGGTTTGACCCTGAAAGAGGGGAGATGGAGCTGAGCTGTGGGAACACACTTGTTTGGTGTGAGGGTGGTGAGAGCCTGGCCCAGGTTGCCCCGAGAAGCTGTGGCTGCCCCATCCCTGGAGGGGTTCAAGGGCAGGTTGGAGGGGGCTTGGAGCAGCCTGGTGTGGTGGGAGGTGTCCCTGCCCAGGGCAGGGGGTGGCACTGGGGGAGCTTTGGGGTCCCTTCCAACCCAAACCATTCTGTCATTCCGTGACCATGCGCAGAATTTGGGGTGTTCCTGGTCTGCTCTGACCTGCCCTGATGCCCCCGTGTGACCTCCCTTCTGCTGCTGGGCTGGAAGGACATCGTCTTTGGGCAAAAGCTGTGGGGAGATGAATGTGTTTGCTCACCAAAGCTTTAACTTCTTGAGGGTTTGTGGATCATACTTGGGTTTAGATTACCTCTCGAGCCTCAGCTGACTACTGCTCAATTAGAACCCGCTTTGTCAAACGCTGTAAGGATAATTAAAACATTTTCCGTGCTTTCAATAAGTTACATTTCCATAGAAATGCTTTCAGTAAATGTGTATAGAAAATAGAATTCTGCATTAAAAAAACGAGCATAAAAAAAGAAATCCGAAGTCTACGTTCAAGCAATATTAACCAGCTTTCACATGAAACAGTGGATTTTCTCTCAAATTTACTTGCTTTTTAAGTATGGGGCTGCATCTGAGCTTTCTGGCTGTAGCTGTTGTGGGTTTCCTGAGCAGAGTCTCTGATGGGCCGTGTCCTGTAGCTCCAAACTTGGAAACCCAGTTTTGAAAAGAAGCGTCCCCTTCCTTACCCCTCCCGAGGTCACTTCAGCCCGAAAACAATCATTAGCATTTTCAGCAAAACTATTTAAGAGAGGAAAGAGGATGCTGCGAGTGCAATACTGGAATTACCTCGGTGTGGGAATTCAGGAGTAGGAGTGATCTGTTCATGAGAAGTGCACCTTCATGGGAAGGGGGAAACACCTCTGAAAATAATTACAATTTAAAAATTGCTGGGAAAAAACCACTGGTCTTTGTTATGCAACAGCAGTTTTGTGTTTATGCAGAATATCTGTACAGCTGAAAGCCTTGCTTTTTGATCAAATCTTTCCACTTTCAGGGCTCCTCGGAGCCGTGTCGCTCACTACGGCATCCTAGAAAGGGACAGCTCCAGAAATGTGTGTTTTTCCCCAATCTATTACTCAGGTTAGGTAGTATTTCTGACTGCAGACTGAAAAGGCTCAAACTCCAGCCCTGCTAGGCACTAAGAGGGATCATTTCAGTAAACATTTTCCCATTTAATGACACAAGCACTCATTAAAAAATATCGCTTCTCCCATTGCAGTTTGTGAGGATAATGGAAACAGAAAGAACGAGAAATTTCTGCTTCCAGCAATGAAGTAAATGCCCGGTGGAAAAAAAAAAAAAAAGGTCAAATATGTTCCAACTTCTGCTAAGATACCACAGAAAAATAAATAGATAATGCGCGAATATGGCTAGTTATCAGGAAAATATATCTTAATGGTTATACCATTTCAGCTATCTGACTGCCTCCCATCAGAGGTAGCCCAGCACGTATATCTCCTTCTCTCCGGGGCCGTGTTCTTGCCCCAATAACAAATGGATTTGCTGCTGTTGCCTGCACCCTCCTGTTTGCCCAGGCTGTCGGTCGCCGGCCCTGGGCTCGGCAGCAGCGGAGCCGGCTGCTCCGATAAGGAGGGCGCTGGGAAGGGAGGACCACGAGGAGCCCACGCGAAGGGCAGCTGTAACAGCCCCGTGCCGGCCTCGTTAGGCACAGCCAATTAGTGCTGCGGGCAGGACTGGTGATGGTGCGACACAAGGGCACCTGCCCCCGCAGCGCCGGGTGCCGCAGCTCCGTGGGGAACCCGGTTACCTTCACGATGGGACACACTAAAAACTGAGGGTTTAGAGAAAACTGAGGGTTTAGAGTGATGCACCATACTTGAATGAAACTTTTCTGAAAATATCTGTAGGTATTAAAAAAACCACTGCTTAACCCAGCGAGTTACATCAGGCTCTCTGAAGTCAATGCAACTCTTTGCTTGTACTTTTACATGAAAATAATGTACATGCATGTTCCCTCTTCTCTTCTCTTCTCTTCTCTTCTCGTACATGCATGTTCTCTCTTCTCTTCTCTTCTCTTCTCTTCTCTTCTCTTCTCTTCTCTTCTCTTCTCTTCTCTTCTCTTCTCTTCTCTTCTCTTCTCTTCTCTTCTCTTCTCTTCTCTTCTCTTCTCTTCTCTTCTCTTCTCTTCTCTTCTCTTCTCTTCTCTTCTCTTCTCTTCTCTTCTCTTCTCTTCTCTTCTCTTCTCTTCTCTTCTCTTCTCTTCTCTTCTCTTCTCTTCTCTTCTCTTCTCTTCTCTTCTCTTCTTCTCCTTGCCTTCCCTTCCATCCTTTTCCTCCTCCTTTTCCTCCTCCGTTTCCTTTTCCTCCTCCGTTTCCTTTTCCTCCTCCGTTTCCTTTTCCTCCTCCTCCTCCTTCTCCTTCCCATTTCTCTTTCCTTTTTTTTTTTGCGTTTCTGACTCCATGAAAGCTCTCTTTTATGGCAGAACGTAGCAACCCTTAGCAGGAACAGCAAGTTGGAAGAATCCGCAGCACTGGTTTGCTAGAGCAGAGTTTAAAGCTGAATTTCAGCTGGGATTTTGCACCACGGCAGCGTTGGTAACGCAGGATGTTTTGGAGGGGGGCAGAGGAGGAGGGGGGTGTGTTCATTGGATAATCCTTTAAAAGCTGGGGTACCTTTTGCCAAAGAATACTGTATTTCTGCAGTGGCACTAATGGAAAAAGGACCCTACTGTTGTTATGCAGAAAATAGACGTGGCTCTGTGGGGAGCTCTGAAGAGTTGGACAGCTGGGTGGAGCTGGTTTGGTTGGACAACTGGTAAGTAGTGTATCAGGCACTGGAAGTGCTGGACCTTTGTGGCCTCTGGTGAAAACACAGCAGTCAGGACTCCCTCGTGGATGTGAGCCTCGAATTTGGAATTCTTTAGGGAAGAGTATTCCTAGTACTCTGAATATTTTTTTAAATCTCCTTTAAAATGAGAGCAGTAGTCTCCTCTAGAGCAGCAGTAGGGTTCAGACAGTCCATTTTGCCCCCCGTTTGGTTCTGTGCCCTGCTGATCCCCTCAGGTGCAGTGTTTGGGATGTGGGGCTGACACTGGCAAGCATCCTTCCGGGCCAGGGGGCTCTTGTGGCCAGTGGTCGCCACCGAAAAATTAGAAGGATTTCCCCTTTCAGCCCAAGATTGCTCTCCATAAAGACCACGTGTGATCCCCCACCAACCCCCCCAGGCTTGAGGAAAATTAACTCGGGAAACAATGGGGATTCTTCAGTTTAGCGAGTCTTTTAAAGTGGTGTAAAACCACTGAGCATGTGCTTAATCTTATTCTTATCTTTGCTGAAGTCTCTGCCCTGTCTGTGCAGGATGGAGCACCCACCTGAGCGCATGGAGAGGATTCCTCCTCCCGGGCACCTTCACGCAGAGTCAGAGGACGTGATGGTAACCTTCTGCTTAGTTATTGCAAACCTCTGCTCACCACTCCCTATCGAGTGCCATGAGTCACTCCTGGATCTCCAACCAGGCCTTGGAAGCTGCTGACACAGCACTGGGCTGGGTCTCAGCCCAGCGGGGTCAATCACCATCCCCCAGGGAAGCGTGCACCAGGTTGTCTTCGTTAGGCAAACGAGCACCCGCAGAGCCCCAAGCAAGCCCTGGCACCTGGAGACCTTACCTCCACACAGGTTAAATTCATGGTCTTAACAAACATGTGAGATGTTTGGACATTTTGAACCCAAGCCTTAGGAAGTTCAGAGAATGTTGTCCATTTAAGAAGAAGCCGGACCATAGCATATTATAATAATTAATTTATAGAATCATATAATCACAGAATGGTTCAGGTTAGAAGGGACCTTAAAGTCCCCCCAGTGCCACCCCCTCCCTGGGCAGGGACACCTCCCACCACACCAGGCTGCTCCAAGCCCCCTCCAACCTGCCCTTCAACCCCTCCAGGGATGGGGCAGCCACAGCTTCTCTGGCCAACCTGGGCCAGGCTCTCACCACCCTCACACCAAACAAGTTCTTCCCCACATCTCAGCTCCATCTCCCCTCTTGCAGGGTCAAACCCTTCCCCCGCTCCCTAGGGCTCCCCTCCCTCATCCAGAGTCCCTCCCCATCTCTCTTGGAGCCCCTTAAGGGACTGGAAGGGGCTCTAAGGTCTCCCCAGAGCCTTCTCTTCTCCAGGCTGACCCCTCCCCAACTCTCTCAGCCCGTCCTCCCAGCAGAGG